TGTGTACGTGTGAGTTTGCGAATTATTTCTGTGTATGCTTTGTATGCAGGTCTGAAAGCACATGAGCCTGTTCTTGGGACGTAGTCAAAGTTGTCTGATGACAGAAACATTACAAGATGAACAGATTTAATGATAGTATCACTGCGCAAAAAGAAAGAGGAGACTATAGGGCCCACTAACCAAACAAAGATGTCTTCCCTTACCAAGGAGGGAGGAAGGAGGTGGATTGGTTGCAATGGCATGTTTTATGAATTCCTTTTTTTGAATTTTTGAAAGGTTGCGTCGTCAAATTAGCACCTGATACTCTTTGTGTTTCATTTTGTCTTTTTATTCAAATCTAAAATCCAGCACTAAGAGGCTATATTCATATTCTGTTTCTTTTCTTTTACTTGACACATCCCCTTGTTGTGTGGCCTGCTGGTTTTCTTTGTTTGTCAATAAGAGGTAAAAGTAAATTTCGACAACCCCCCCCCCCCCCTCGAATCCAAACTTAAGTTAAAAGTGTCCACACGCATGACGCCAAATGGGGCCCCAATGAGAGAGGAGACCTCAGATGGGCGTAGAAGGGCTAGTAAGTTCAAAATGGAGAACTTAAGTTTACTTTTTTCCTTTACAATAGAACACCTCTTGGCAACACGTCACATAAACACTTTGCATTAGACTAGATCTGGTCAAAAAATGTAGGAAGCCAAGTGTTAAATAATCATTATGCACTGGGCAAGTTTGGAAATACAGAAGCCGCAAAGGCCTGAGCTCTCTCTCTCTCTCTCTCTCTCTCTCTCTCTCTCTCTCTCTCTCTCTCTCTCTCTCTCTCTCTCTCTCTCTCACGTTTGTTTTTCTCCGACACTCCTCTTCCTTGCCCGGGACGATGGCCAAAGTCAAGATGTAGTGGTCAGCGGGGTTGAAGTTGCGTGGGCACGGGTAGTTAAGTCTGAAAAGGCAAAGAGTGAGCAACCCATTAGACACTGCTTCAAGGAAATTTACTAATATGATCAAATCTGTTTAAGGTGGGTTGTTGGTGGGTGCTCTGGTGTGGTTTGCTTCTTCTTTCCTGTCAAACATCTATCGTCCTTATCTCCCCTTCTTCTTTTTCATGTTTATTACTCTCTTGTAACACCACTAATCTTCTGGCGCTCATAATATGACCTTATGCAGTTGCGAGCGCCGTAAAACCTGCAACAAAAGTTTTTTTGAAATCTGTTTAAATGCAGAAACGGAAATAGTATACTTCTGACAAAAAATTCACTCGTGAATCTTGGAAACCGCTGTAATCAAATAAGCAGATCACACAGTAAACTACCCGTAAATTCTAGCAGGGAATGCAAAGAAAGGGAAAGATGTGTTGCGAATTCTCAAGTAAGCTATTTTCCGATGGTATTATTTTTGCTTGTTTTCATATCATTGCTATTACGGTATTGTTATTTTCAATTTTATAATAACGGCATAGAAGATTTTTAAAAGATCGTGTAATGTTGTGAAGGAGTTCATTATTAGAAAAACACTGTGTAGAAATTACGCTATTTATGTAAAGTGGTGCTGATTTGAAAACGACATTGAAAGCCAGCGTGAAAATTTTTTACCAGGATGAAATATGAAAGAAAAGAGCTAGTCACAGAAAAATAAGCAATATTTATATAATGTCTCATTACAAAGTCTGGATCTCACCTGTTGAAAAAATCAAAGGCCTCATCTGACTTCCCCATAAAAGCCACTCTACCTTCAGACAACAAGAGCACCCTGCGAAGTTGAAAGGAACGTTGGATTAAGATTTGAATAATTCTGAAGCTAATACCAGATACACAAAACGGTAAATTCAAGAAGCAAGAAAATATAATTGTCTTCATGTGAAAAGTTTATAAACAATACTTTTGCTATATCAATTTTTTTTAAACAATAAATGAAAAACAATAACCCAGAAGAAAGCATCAATTCTGTTTTGTTGTTGTTGTTGTTGTTATTGTTGTTGTTGTTGTTGTTGTTGTTGTTGTTGTTGTTGTTGTTGTTGTTGTT